CTAGTCATCAGTCACTGAGAACAGAGTTAAGATCTACATTTGTGTCTGTTGATTTAGAATTTCAAGTTCTCTGAGCCTTAGGATTATGTAACCAACCGTACCCATGCAGTGGACAGAACCGGACTCTGAAAAACAACATCCTCTAAATAACTACAAATTGTAGACTAACAGGAAAGATTGCCAACTTAGGAATTAGTCTTGAAGACCAAGTTAACTGTTTTTTTTCTCAACAGATTTGCTGTGGTGTCTAGTATAAATGAATGCCTTGTGAGTCGATCTCTGGGGGAAAACGCTCTGACACTGTTCTTTGATCAAAGAAAGCAGTTAAATGGAACAGAAGTTATATTTTATTTGTATAAGCTTCAATTATACATTTATAATGAGCCTTTTACTTTTTAAATTGTGTATATATTGGTAAAATTAAATATATAACCAAGTTAGTACCTACTGGCAAAGAAAGAAAACAATATTTTATATAGCGCCTCTGAAGATAAAAATCACGAGGCGCTTCACATAAACAGCCACCGAAGCTGCAACTAACCAACTAAAGATAACTGCTTTTGATCTAAAAATACATTTTTGATATCAGTCTGATGGCTACAGTTTGTTGACTTACATTTAAACTGGAAATTTGCCCCCACAGTAGCTGCTGCTGGCTCCTGATCCACCATCCTTTTGAAAATGCTGCGCTGTATTCTGGGAAATTTTTTACCAAGTCCAGGCTACAAGACACCTCACGTATCCTTGGTCAGCTAAACGGCTAACAAACGGAGAACAGAGTTCTCTGTAGCACATGAACATTGGAACACGCCTTGGTAGTTCCTAATGACGTATCTCCTAGGCAACCGGGGCGGGACCAAAGCATCAAGGCATTAATTGACATTGAGAAACATCCCAGGATTTAGGGTCTTATTTCCTGATATCCAGACATCTCATCTCTGATTGGCCAACAGCAATGCGACTATTACCACTGACTTTTTTTTTGCTCTGCAATGTTGGTGTTTTATCTCCACAAACAACACAATCCTAAAGTTCTGCCATGTTGTGGAGTTGCTAATGCTAATGTTAGCTTCTACTAGTCGAGGCATGCTCTGTTCTCTCCTGGATGCTAAATCAACAACAGCCTTCCCTGTTGCGAGCCAAGGGTGAATCCATGAATGTTTATTTTCAATGTGACGAGGAAATTACTGGTTTTTCTAATCTGAGCTTTTCCTTGTCTATCGTCTATGTTTGTGTGGCATTTATAACTACTGTATACTAATGTATTATAACATAATATTCATAATCCAAGTGTTTCCTCATTTATTTAATGCTCTAAATATGTTTGTGTTCTGTTCTAATGAAACTTAAATAACATAATATAAAATAATATTCATAAATATCAGAGTTGCTGTTAAATACTGAGGGTGGTGTATCCCAGACAAGAATTGCTAAAGAGATGTACACAAGCCAAAAGAAGAAACAGCCAGAGCTCAGGTTAGCATTGCTTTGGATTTCATCGCCAGAGATGCCAGCATTGAATTTTGCCCCAAGACTGAAACAATGTCTGTAGGTGAGACTGGTCTGACTTAGGAGGACTATAAGGCACTGTTCGTGTTTTTCACTACTCTCGACCTAGAGCACCGGCCAGAGCACTACTTAAGCCAGGATTCAGTTCAGGATCTGATAGGTGGGTGATGCAAGCAGGACAAGAGGACACAACTCAAGCTCCATGAAACTTCTTTGTATTTCCATTTTCCAACAGTTTACAGACCACTGGTTCTCCTCAACTTTAACAGGCGGTGTCTATGGATAGGTGTAGATGTGTTTGTGGAGGTGTCTGTGGTTTCTTGGCATTAACACACAACTCGAAGGGAATAAACATATTCACACATCCAACGGTACCCCATGTGGTAATGTCTGTCCATGCCATGTGATAATCTCTCAACAACGGGTCGGCAACGTTGCAACACCGTGCGGGACTTGTTTACGGGATTACATCATCACGGCCCAATATATGGTAGCCCTTAAGACCCAAAAATGCGTTGTTTATAAGTTGTGATTTTTATACATCAGAACTTAACGTTACAACTTAAACTACTGCTAACCTAAATACCTTGCAGAGTCTTTTGTACAATGTCCAAAAGTAACACTCTAGTCAGTAAGCAGAGTATACTGATACTCAAGTACAAAAAAGGCTTCTTGGAACACACCAGTTACAAATCTGAATCAAGCCCAAGCCGGAGTCCAGCTGCTCTATCACTAAACACCAATAAGCACTCAGAAATGGTGAGCTGCATTATCAGGCTGGCTTCAGAATGTGACAGTGCTGACTACTGTGGCCAACAGAAAAAAGCTGGCAGCTTTAAGTCTTTTATAAGTAGATTTTAACTAGTTAGCTAACCTTCTTATGAAACATTGTCAGCACAAGACTTGAACACAGTAGAGTTTCTCAACACAACAGAAAGCTCTATTCAAAACGCTTTCGTAAACGGTTACACCATCTCCTCTCAGACACCACAGCTGAATGAGCTAATTATCTTCACCTTTGTAAGACGATAAAATGTGACATTAAGAACCTCTGATGCATTGTTCTGAGAGTCAAAAAGTGATAAAAGCTTATTATATGAAGTTCAGAAAATTTGCTGGTAAAAAAAAAATCTCCCAAATAAACGTGAAGTGGTCATTCCAGCGCTATGGCATGCTACGTTTCTATTCAAAATAGCAAAATAAAAATGCCCCAGAGCAAGACCGTGAGAAAGATAAAAGATGATAAGAGAATGATCAATGTCAATCACACTGTGAAATTCTGGCAGTAAACAATGGCAGTTTCTCAATATTCAAGTATGCTGGTATGTTCTTGTGTACTTGACAAGTATATTCTTGGCAAGCACACCTGAAAATCTGTTCTACTGAGTACGGGAGGATGAGGATGGCATTTGGAACAGAACCGTACTCCGTTGTGTCATGACAAAAACAACCGGACATAAAAATGGAAGTCTAGTTTCTCTCTAAAACACAAAATAACAATAAATACATTATATTTGTATAACACTTGGTCCACTTTTGATCAAAAACATAAAATACCTACTTTCCCAATTGTTAAATGAAGAAAAAAAGTTTCTTTTTCATCTAAACAGAGCTATTTTGGGCAACGCTACTTTTATTTTAATAGTTGGTCTCCTAATTTGCATTTTAAGACATTATGAAGAGTCTGGAAAATAAAAAAATTCACACTGCGAGTTTTACAGGTTACACACAATTATTTACAATAACAGACAACTCTATATTTTTTTCTTTATTTGTATTTCTGATACACTACAGTTATAAGCTTTCTCCTCTGTTGTTTGTGTGTAATGGTTTGCAACGCAATGCATTAAGCAATACTTTGTTGTCCCAAGTCCGCAGAAGGAAGCTTTGATGCATCCTCGATACAATGGGCAGAGCAAGAACACATCCGGGAACTCTTGTGTACTTGCATACAGGAGTTCTTAGGATTGGAATTGTACTTGGGCCATCACTGATGACGTTTCACAAGGATGGGAGTACACAAGTTCAGACGAGTATGCAAAACAAGAAACGGCAGTGCAGTATAGCATATTTTGCTGTCTCAAGTCCGCAGAAAGATGCATTAATGTATCCTTGATACAATAGACGGAGGAAGAACACATCTGGGAACTTTGAGTAAACTTACCAAGATATGTATTTACTTACAACATAGGCTCATTCAAACATAACATAATAATGCTGTGAACATGTATAGATACTTTATCATACATTCTCACCAGCCTGTTACTCAAAATGCACCAAACTGATGCTTTTCACTATAAAATGTCCAATGTTTTCTACCGGGGGCATGCCCATGGACCCCCCTAGAGTAGTTTAATACTAGTCTAAGGATGACTTGCAATGATGACAAATCAAATCAGCATTTATTGTTCATAAAGGTCAAATGTATCAGTGATAGTGTACACAGTGAGAAGATGCAGTTTGCATATTATTTAATCAGTGTATCAGGATGCGCACACACACAAGATGGCTCACTTATTTGGATATCATTACATTTTTGTGATCCATTTATTATTATTCTCTATAGTTTAATGTAACATAAAAGTTTGTCCTTTTCTTTTAATAACTACTGCAAACCGATCCCTTAAATTAATAGAATTTGTTTATTTTGAATGAAAACAACAGGATTGTGTCACTTTTCTCCATGAAAGCATTTGTTGTTCTGACACTGCATTTATTCTCTTGAGCTTTAACAATTCCAATCTTAAAGCCTACAGATAAGACCTCACTTGACCTAGAAACAAGCATTCTAAACCAGTGTCCTAAAATAACACACACACACACACACACACACACACACACACACACACACAATACTTTACAGCAAATCTAATATTTACAGTTACGACATGACCTGGTCTGTGTTTGGATGATCTAATTTAGGGAGTAAGGACAACAGACAAGAACAAAGTTGCTGCCTGAAGGTGTTCAGTCAGAGAAGCAGGAGAGAAGTCAGCCTTTTCTTAAAATACACACACGCTACAGCCTGTTTCAAGACTGAGAATTAAAGCTTGTGTTGTCATTTTCAGCTCATAACAGATGTTTGCTTCTTTTTCCTTCACATCATCAACCCAAACCACAGGGTTTAGTGAGTTTGAATGAATTCACTCTCCAGGTGATATTTAAGACACCAGTGCTGCAGAAATTACAGTGAAGATATTATGCACAGAGAATGACCTTAAGATGTAAGAAAGAGGATCATGAAAGTATCATGAAAGGACTGAGTCAGTGGGTAGGGTTACTGTCTACGGACGATGTCAGATAATCTGTATACAGCTGATTCCGGTTCTCAAAATGTTCGTCCAACATTTATTTTCTGACTTTGTCATCAGGCAGACAATGCAAACAAATTGTAAAGAGGACCAAAATTTCTAAACAACACACAGTGTGTGAAGTTTAGTTTTAATGAATCAAACCACAACAGCTAGTTTAGTTATGATGTCAATAGATACCTGATAGGGGGGCGGTGGCTCCTGATCTGGGTCAGCACCGTCTCCATAGCTGGCTCGGTCCGACTGCGATTCGTGTAGCAGAGAAATATCATCCGAGGTCGGAGATTTTAAACAGTTTCCCATCTCCCTCCTCTTCTATCAAACTCTACCTTCTAACCGCGTCGCTCTACCAGCAGCGGATTTCACTGCTCACTTCCACAGAAAATGTCAGTAAATAAGAAGACGTCGAGAGGACGTTTTTCCATTCACAGCTGATGAAGCTCCTCTCCCAGACGACGGGAGGGCTGGCTACTTCAACAAAAACAAAACATCACTAAGACCAGCAGCTAGCCACACAAAAAGCTAGCCTGCTAACACTAGCTAGCACTCTGAGGGGAACATCTAAACGTCTGGGCGCAGAATCGCGGCTTTAACATAATTTTATATCAGCAGAAGGAAGAAAGCGAGCAAAATAACTGCTTTCTTCATTTAACGTGACACAGCTTTCCACGGTTCTCCAGCCTGAGTCCGATCTAGCTGCCAGGGACTTTCCAAAGCAGCTGCTGAACAATGACAAAAGCTGGGTGACGTACAACGTGGGGGACGGCTCCTTTAAACAACTGACCAATCAGCTTTCAGTTTCGTTCAAGAAGTTCTTGTTGACAGCCAATCAGATGGTTGGTCACGTTGCCTTACATTGAAAACGTAAACACACAACGTTAATCTGCAAATGAGTCATGTTCCTACCAAAAGAACGATTTCTTTGCAGATCGGAATTGTCCTCTGAGTTTTATATGATAAAACCATTCATCAGTTGTGTTATTGAAGCTCTCGGTTTAATGAGATGTGTTCCATGGCGGCCTCTGGTCTGCAAAGCCATTTTTTCATTTGTTAAATTAGAATCCAAAACCAAATTAATGCAAACAACCTGTGTCATTTTTGTTCTGTGTGCTGAAAAATTATTGAACTTAAATGACGTGGAAAGGAAAGAATACAACACAAAAGTATATATTTCATTATAAATCACAACTAAAATGTAAATGGAAGTCATCCTGCTTGGTGGGTAACCATGCCCAATACACAATACAGAACGTGTAAACACAAAATTTTGAATGCTTAATTTCTTCCATTTATACAAGTGTAAAAGCTAAAAGGATGGGGAAAATTATGATTAGTTTGCAGAATCAACACATTCTAGAGTCGCTGCAGTTGCAACAATTCTAATAATACATTTCCTCCACCAATAAATATTAGACACTGACTTCAGACAATTAAACTGTACCCCAGACCTCTCTCAGTTATAAATAAATCAGCAGGACTTGTATCCCAACTCTTGAGGCACCATGTGAGTTCTCTGAACTGTCAGGTTTCAGGTGCTCAGCCTTTTCAATCACCCACTCGCCAATCGTTTATGAGGAAAGCTGTATTTGTTCATCTGCAGATAACTATTTGACACAGGATGTGGTTTTACATTCAAGTCCTTCTGTTGGTAGCTCTAGCAACAGGATAGCAGGTAGAGAAACAGCAAAAGAAGTCGACTGAAGTCTACACAAGCTGTGAAAACTTGATGGCTGCTGGGGGTTAAGAGTTTCTTCACCCACTAAAGATACAGCCGGCAGTCAAGCTCGCAGTCCTACGCCGCTTGCTGTGAATGGCCTGTTTGTTCAAGCTCAAGTATTGCTGGAGCCCGTCCCACACACCAGGAGGAGAAAAGGAGGGAGTCTGCCTTTTCTAAAAGACACATTCATCTGTCCTCTCAAAACAGGACAATTCATGTAAAAGATGCCATTTACAGTAAATAAATGTAAAGACCAACTCTCCCAGGTCGTTTGACATCCAAGAGTTGACAGTTTCATGGGCGATACACAAAGCTCGGTGCAAAAACCAAAACATAAGCTGTGAATACAGGGTTATATTCAGTAAGATGCTCCCTCGATTCTGACAAACACAACAATCATGTAGTGTAAACACATGATCCCACATTCTGAATTAAAACAGAACAAGCTGGTTTTGGAAAGTGAGACATTTCCAAAACCTACATTAACATTACAGTGGAACAGGTTTATACCCGGTACTTAAATAGTGCTGCTGTTCGTGTGTCATGTATCTGAGGCTTTATTTAACTCCACCAGGTTCAGGTCTAGTACCCAGCACTGAGCATATCACTTGGGACAAAGCACTGAATATGTCACAAAAATTTAACCTTGTTTCTGCTCAAATGCAACCAGTGTGAAAGAGACAAAAGGCATGCTGGAAGCAGTGTTTCATAAACACATGAACACACATTTCTCCACTCAATTTGTTAAAAAAAATATGTGTGAGAAAGTGACTAACTGTAATGTGTCTCTGGAAGAGGGCGTGGCAAAGTGAACAAGGCCAGCAAAGGCACACAAAGCTGCAGAGGTCCATTACAAGGGCAGAACTGAGGAAAAAACACTCCATCTTCATCTAGAATTTAAAAAAGTTCTTAGTTCTAAAGAGTAGAGCTGGTCTGGCATGTTGCATTGTGGGTAAGCAGAGACAGGAAGCTGTCACTTTACTGGTGTGACTTCTGTTATGGGCTAGAGGGCACGAGGATGCCATTCTCCCCGGTTCCCTTGGCCTTGTGCAAAGCAGCCTGAATACGGAAGTGCGTCCGTGATTCCATGGAGTAGTTTTTATAGTTGTGTCTGAAATTCAGAGAGGATTTAGCTGTTGAATCCATTAAAGCAGTAATCAGGTCTTTCACTGAAAAAGTAAATGTGATTTTTACAAATGTATGTTTTGAGAGTTGAATGCTTACTTTGCTGCTTCTAGTAGTTTAATAGCTTCATCTTTTCTGCCTTGCTCCAGACACAGAAGCCCATGTTCCAGCAGAGCGTTAGGAACCAGGTAGTGGTCGTACTTGATCAGAGTCTCGCTGCAGAGGACGACAAAGGTAGATCAGAAAAACAGTCACCCTAGATCCTCTGTCTTCAATGAAAGTTCTATATAATGTGTGTGTGTGTGTGTGCACATATGTATGTGTGTGTGTGTGTGTGCATGCATGCATATGTGTGTGTGCGTGCATGTGTGTGTGTGCATGTGCGTGTGCGTGTGTGTGTGTGTGCGTGCATGTGTGTGCATGTGTGTGTGCGTGTGTGTGCGTGCATGTGTGTGTGCATGTGTGTGTGTGTGTGTGTGTGCATGCATGTGTGTGTGCATGTGTGTGTGCGTGCGTGTGTGTGTGTGTGTGTGTGTGTGTGTGTGTGTGTGTGTGTGTGTGTGTGTGTGTGTGTGTGTGTGTGTGTGTGTGTGTGTGTGTGTGTCTTACTTGCACAGAACGAGGGTAAAGTAGTGCTCAGCCTCTTCTTTGTGTCCCAGCTGTTTGAGACAGAGTCCCTTCAGGAGGCAGAGCAGACACTGATCATCTGTGGTGAACTCCGTCCCTGATAAACAAAAAGACAGAACCCATCTTCATGTCAGTTCATTAAGTACATTTAAAACCATGATTATTTTCAAAAGAGATAAAGGTTTGTGTACTTGGAAGGTTTTCAAGTTTAGCCTGTGCTTCCTCCAGGGTTTTCAGTATGCCCTCGGTCAGCTCTTTATGTTTTCCGATGACCGTGTAGCCGTTCCAGATGTACATCATTTCCTACACAATAAAATCACACATGCAAACAATTTACAGCAATTAATGCACCACTTTCCAGCACTATAGCTAAGACGTTTTTACTTCTGTGGCTCAGTTTTATATTAGCCAAACCATTATGATCTAAAGGTAAGTACATACACACATCTCTAAAGTAGCGCATCACAGATAGTGTGCAGTACTGACCAGAGGAGCAGCAGGAAGAGGAATGGGTTTTTCTGCAAAGTAGCGTCGAGCTTTTCTGATAGCAAACTTCTCTGTTGGTAAAGACTTCCCTGCTATTTTCTGCTTCAGTCCAGGGACCTGCCTGGAACAAAACACAGCTTAAACATGAATGCAGTCTCTTTTCCTGCATGTCAGCAAAGGTAGAGTATTTAACGTGTCAGCAGTGAATAAATTAGTAGATAAAAAGGTGAATAAATGTTTCTTTTTAACTGTCATATTCCTTGTTTTGCACTGAAAACAAATCTCCTGTAAAATAAGGAGGCAGATAGATGGAGAGAGATGTGCTGTATTCAGTAACTCAATGTTAATTTTTTATTATTAAGATTTTTTTCATGTCCTGCAAAAATAGGTAAAAATTCAGATCAGTTAACCCGAGCTCAAACAGCCTACTCCATCCATTCTCTTCTGCTTATCCAGGGTCGGGTCACAGGGGCAGCAGCCTAAGCAGAGAGGCCTCACCAGGGAGGCAGCCAGGAGGCATCCCAACCAGATGCCCAAGCCACCTTAACTGACTCCTCTCGATGTGGAGGAGTTGCGGATCTACTTCGAGCCCCTCCTGGATGACTGAGCTTCTCACCCTATCTCTAAGGGAGAGCCCAGCCACCCTGCGGAGAAAACTTATTTCAGCCGCTTGTATCTGCGATCTCATTCTTTCAGTCACTACTTAAAGCTTGTGACCATAGGTGAGGGTAGGAACGTAGATCGACCGGTAAATCGAGAACTTCGCCTTCTGACTCAGCTCTCTCTTCACCACGACAGACCAGTACAACGCCCGCATCACTGCAGATGCAGCACCAATCCGCCTATCGATCTTGTGCTCCATCTTTCCCTCACTCACGAACAAGACCCCGAGATACTTTATTCACAAAGAAAACGCCCGTTTTAAGATGGTTTGCTCCTCTTTGTATTTACTGAGTTCTGTTTTTAAGTTTAGCTTGTTTTGTTTCCCGCTTGTTGAAGAAAATCGTTGATTTTGTTTCTTGGTAAACCTAAAATAAATGATCTTTAACTTCCTTCATTTCCATTTCTCAATTTCAATTTAAACAAATAAAATTGCTTTCTGTTCCTTTTCTCTTTTCATGCATTTTTTCTGCTTTCCGAGTTTTCAGCAGAGGCTCAGAGGAATCAGAGCGGCTGACCATCACAGAGAACAAGCCTGACTTTGTGGCTTCGAGTTTCTTTTTTAACTTCCCTCCTTTTCAACTTTCTAAGCTGCTCAAGATAATAATCACAGAGATTTACAAGCTACTTTAAAGACGCGTCAGAGTAAACGATCTCTGTTTCACTTTGCTGTGTGAGTAATTAGATGAGCTCCTACCTGAACTGGGTCAGTGCCGTCTCCCCAAACGTGAGACAGTCGTCCTCAGTCAGCATGCTGAGATAGGCTGCTTTCATGTACGCGTAGGTAGCCTGGGAAAAGGAAATGTGCTTACTGCTGCAATCTCACCTTACCTTTAAAAATCAAATCAGGACAATCTGGGACATTTTAACAGAGATTTTTATCATTTGTTTTGTTAAAAGTCATCACACGGAGAGTTGATCAAAGTTCTGTTCTTCACGAGAAGCCAAAACACACGCATAGCTCAACGTTTTCCGAGGATTTACTCAGACCACAGTACAAAGCCTTACCTTGGACCACGAGTTCTCCTTGCTCAGCATGTCAGCGTAGAAGTAGGCCATCTTCCAGTGCGTCTTGTATGTGAAGCACCACATCAGCTCCCAGTAACACATGTGGTGGAACTGGCTCCACTGCTGCTGGGCCTCGCAGCACTCCTCAAAAAGCTTGATAGCCTGAAGAAGTGGTCGTATAGTCAAAGACTGGGTGTTAAATTGGTTTTGGGAAATCGTTTAGCGATGACAAACGGCTGAAATTAGTCTGGAACAGATCTGAATGTTTGTAACTCCTACATCAATTGAAAAAAAATGCATGCATAATTATGTTCAAAGCTGTGTGTCGAAACATAATAAATTAACTAAATATAGCAATTTTTTGAATCAGCAGAGCAAGTCTGATTAATTTGACACATAAAGAATGTGCTCACAGCATCCAGGTTGCCTTTGATCTCCTCTATTCGACCAGCGAAGAACAAAAAGATGGATCCCTAAAGAAAAGAAAAAAGATTATATTTGGGAACAATGGCACTTCAGTTCACAAGGGCATGTCAATAAACCCAAACCTTGGGGTATTTTTTAAGATACGGCTGCAGAAGTTTCTCTGCATCCTCAACATCTCCTTCTCCAGTTCCTACAAAAACAAAACACATTTAGAGCAAATCCAGCTAAGATTTGAGCCTTTCTTTACTTAATTAGCTCAGCAGATGCACTAGTATTTATGTGTCATGACTCACCTAATATGAAGCTCATGAATGTGTGATAACAGAGCAGCAGCATGTTACACAGGAATGACCTGAAGGTGCTTTCTGCAGAGCCTTCCTGAAGCTGCTGAAGACCAAACTCCTACATGATCACACAAACTGATTCAGTTCTCTGGTCAGGGAAAACCAGCAGGTCAACTAGCACGTAGGAACTTCCTGTATTCGGACACCAGACACTTTTAAAGAGCAGACAAACATTCTTCTATTTAAAATCCTTTTTCTTAAACATTTTTTATTTGTTTTAAAGGTGTTGAACACAAGTTTGATCAGTACATCTGCAGTGGTCTCTGGTAGAAATTAATGCCTTGCAAGCCGTACTCAGGGCAAAAAAAGCCCCAAAGCACCTTGATCAGCACGGATAAGTCTGCTGCAGCAAAGAATGGCACGACATGGCAGAATTTGGAGTCTCACATCCTGATATTTTGACACCATGGATTAGAAAACAGCAATGTGACGCTATCACTGACTTGTAATATTGATGTTTTATCTCCACAAATAACACAAGCCTAGATGAGCTTCTGATGTGTGGCGGAGTTGCTAATGCTAACAGTTAGCTTCTGCTAGACAAGACATTTTCTGCTGTTTCTGGACGCCCACAACAGCCCTCCCTGTTGTGAGTGAACATGGGTGAGTCCATAAATGTTAAGTGACAGTGTGATGTAGATCTGTCAGGATTTTCAAATCCTAGAGATTCACTGTCTATTTTCTATCAGAAGCTAATGCAGGAGATAGGTGTAGGAGACTATTTTTATGTTCAGCTTGCATGAAAAACTCCAAGTGACCGATTATAATCAGAAAATATCATTAAAATGTTTTTTTTAGTATTCACACCTTTTATTATTACATTCATAATCAACTCAATAAGCCTGTCATGGAGGAACAATGCCGTCTGTCTGCTAGAGTATTTCTGTGTGCTTGTTCGGGTAATAAATAGTAATAAGACTAGATGTTTTGGATTTGAATCAGACTTTTTTTTCACAGGAATCAAACCAGTAGTAACAGAAGCGAAGATCAGACACGGTGTGGAGGAAATCGCACAGTCATTGTGATCAAAGTTTCACCGTAAGTTATAAAACTGAGAAGTTTTGTTTCTTGGATTCACGTCATTGCCCTCATATCGTATAGCGTTTTCATATTTTATTTTAATGTTCACTCATAAACGACTGAAGATAATTATTTTTTTTTTACCAATTTGCAGCCTAATTTAGCCAAAAACAGACATTATCTCTATTCTGTTGTCATCCAGACTCACCTTGTTACCAGAGAAGCCAACAAACTCCAGCAGTTTGAGCGTTCGCGTGGGCAGCATGGAAATCATCTAGAGGAAGTAGACAGAAGGAGTAAATTAAAGGTGAGACACAGAGTGTGTCAGATAAACTACTTCAGTCAAAACAGTCACAATGGTTTTCAGAGAATGGACTCTAACTTTCTTATCCTTGTTAAAAGGAGGGAACCACACACACACACACACACACACACACACACACACACACACACACACACACACACACACACACAGAGAGAGAGAGAGAGAGAGAGAGAGTTTCCAGACTGTGAACTTACTAAATTAAAAGCGCCTACTCCCAGTTTAACGCCACCCTCAAAGTGGCCATGGTTGTTACCATGAGTGTATCCAGAAGACTGGAGGATGTTGTGAAGCTCTCTGTAGGGGAGATCACAACAAGATGCTGAGGATGATGAGGATGAAGAGGAAACAATGAAACGTTTGAGTATGAAATCATTAGAGAGGCTCACTTGTATGTCTGGTAGCTGTTTCTCACTTTGATGCCTCCTTTGATGAAACTGATCATGTTTTCATCCTGAACAGAGTAGGACCAACAGGGCAGGAATGGTCAGAACTGTTTCAACTGGTTTACCAGACTGTGTGGCTGCCTGCTGACCTGAAGGAAGGTGAGTGCTGCCCTCTGCAGGAGACACTCTGCATAGCACACCTCAGCATGGAGTTCCTCTGAGGTGAGAAGGATACGGACACGTTTAACCTTAGTGCAGCAGCTTGGCAGTTCACTTGGACCACAGCATAAAGGATACACACAGAGGTGGATTTAGCAATTTGGGGGCCCAAGGCGAACACAGACATGGGGCCCCTTACTCTAAATTTTCGACAATCTTACCTTTAACTGGATAAGTGAAACTCTCCCCTCTTCTGACACGAGTTATTTTCCCTTTTTATTAGTCCTCCTCTTTTTTTTCCCCTGTATTTCCCTCCCTTTGAGCGCTTTCAATTTTTGCTCTGCTTTCTTCTTCCTGTCAGTGCTCCTGTGCTTTTGCCTTTATTTTTATTGTATTCTATTTTGCATTTTGGTCTATGTTTTCCTCCCTTTAAACATTTTCCATTGTCTTTCCTTTCTGCTTCCTTTTGATGTTTACGTTGAAAAACGACGTCACTTTTGGAAGTGAAGATAAAAGCTTTTTTAAAGCAAGCTGCTTCTTTCTCTTATTGGAGCCACTAGGATAACTCCATTTCATGCTTAATGTTTTGACTACTGCTTCGAGTATGTTAAGAACGCTCCTGCCTCTCTTTTTCTTCTTCTATGTGGTCTTATGGCACTTGGCAAACAACCATTTGTTGCAGTACCACCACCAACTGGATTGGAGTGGAATGACGACGCTTCCTGTTTGTGAATCAGCATCTTAAAGGAATAGTCCATTGCGGCATTAACAGAGGGGTGCCGGCGGTCAGAACTAGGGGGCCCACCAACATAAGGAGGCCCCAGGCAGCCGCTAGCCTATGCCCTTAATGTAAAACCGCCACTGGCAACATACACACACGCAAACACACACTGACCTTCAGTGAAGCTTTTTGAGAAGGTAGCCTTCTTCCTTTGTCTGATGGAAAGAAAAAACAACTGTAAATGTTACAAAATCCTATCTAAATCGTTTTTTCAGCTCCATCTTGTCCTTCTCTTATCTCAGTTCCCTGCAGATTGTGACTCATTCAAATGATGACAGGATGCTGAGACAAGCTGCTGGCCTTGTCTTAAATTTCCTGTTGATGCTAACAAATTTCAGCTGCTGAGAATTGCAGCTCTAAATGTTGCCTCACTCCACTCAAGGATTCATATTCTCTCAGAGGATTTCTGAATGGTGAGAAACTGCTAACTGTTCTTTTCTGCCTAAATTTTAATTTCAACAACTTCAAGATTATATATTTAAATATATATACACATATATATATATATTTTCCCTTCAAAAGGCCATTTGTGAACAGACATTATGTCAAAGACAACTTCAGCTCAGCTGCTGTGTCTCTGATGCGACAGTTTACTGGAAGTGTATGGGAAGTCTCACCGCTGACACAGAGCCTGCGCCTCCTTCATGGTGTTTCCTGCAACCAAAATGTGCTCAGGGTCAAATGTCATCATGGCCTTCATCTCTAAAATGGTGGCGTAGGTCAGAGCGTGGTACATGCTGTCTTTGGCCCTGTAAGACAAAATTAATGTTACGTGTTATGTTGCAGAAAAGTGATTCCCGTCACATTCTCCTGTCAACAGGCTTTGGTATGGGGTCAGGCGCTTTGTTCCATCAGATCAACTCAAAGAACTTATTTTTTAAGAAGCACAAATTTGTTGCTCCAGTTTCAAATAATAAAAAAAAAATCATCACAAAAATCATCAGAGATCCGTCCCACTGAGCCACTTTATAAAGATAAACATGTTTACTGACATGTTTTTCCTAAGTTAGCATTGTGCACGTTGTGTTAGCAGCGAGGAATGCCGTCAGTCCGCTGCTTCCCGTCTCACAAGAGCAGCTCAGACCTGTCACTTCTCATTGTTACACAAACTTAGCATGAACTGATTTTATTTGCGTGGAGCCGAATCCAAACCATCTAGATTATTCCTGAGTCACTAAGTTTTATGTACAAAACAATCAAAAGGTTTACTTCCAAAAATCATCTCCTCCGATAAAAACCTTTAATTATAGCCTAAAGGAGTTTTTTATTGACTCTAACTAGAAGACAGGAAGTGGGAACGGCTGCTCGTCAGTAAAGATGGAGCAGCTGAGGGATTTTTCTTTCTTTTATTTCCTCTGTGTCAACTTTATTTAAACACCAGCAAATTGCTACTACTAATTCTGAACCATGGATGTAGTCTGCGCCCTGCGAGGGACTGGCAACCTGTCCAGGGTGTACCCCGCCTGCATGCCCAGAGACTGCTGGAGATCGGCACTAGCACCCCCCGTCTGCAGCAGCTGCATTTAAAGCTACGTTTCCCCCCATTTTTCACCACCATGTTCCATGATGCAAGGCAGCATCTGCTGCGTCATTTCTGCAAGTCACTAAAGGATAGACACGCCTTTAACTCAACTGTGCATACAGAAGAGCAAATCAGGAAGTGAAGCAATGGGGAAAACTTCATTAAGTTACTTTATTTGTAACTAAATTCACCCAAATTGGACTACAAACACACAGTCAGTGAGCCTGTCGATCAACCAGCTGATCTCACATGTTACCATACGTGTGCTAACTCTGTAACGGCTTAATTCTAAAGTTTAAACCTGCCTTTGTCTGAAGTTATCGGCTTTAACGCACACAGATGTACAGAGGTCAGCTGTTTTCAGCTGGACCGAACAGAGTTGCAGCTCCAACCCGCACAAACAAAGCTTACAGGTTTGATCTGCACCTGTAGGAATGTTTCAGTCCAACAAAGGTCGTCTATGAAGGAGTGTCTCCAGTACATTTGTTTCTATTTTTAGGCGAGTGCTCGTCTCGCTCTACTGCATCCAAACATAATGAAACGATAGACAAAGGAGAACCCGGAGAGCAAGAGAAGTGGAAGCAAGCATGAACTAAAACAGAGTTCTACGTCATCACACAGATGAGTCCGTCAGTGTTTTCCTCTCACAAGCAAATCAGTAAAGCTTTACATAAGATTTACACACAAGAAGTCTAAGACTTGAATTGAAAGTTCTTCGCCTTGTTAGCTGAAAATAGCCCCAAGCTGCTGTCTACATGGCTCACAAATCCAAACTCAAATAATGATTAACCCTCTGGAGGCAGGGGTTGCAGATTAGCAACGTTAAAACCTACCTACCTGGTTACTCCACATACATATTTCATGAGCATTCTTTAACTCAGCAGTACCCCTGAAGGACTTAGTTGTTCGTCCTTTTATCAAAGCTTATTTTGAGCCTGAGAGGGTTAAATCAGATTTCAGACATGAAAAAAGATGCTTGACAGCAATAAGTCTGTAAAGCATTTTCTGATGATAGAAATTCAATGAAATCCCCCTAAATATATCCTCAATGGCACCAAGGAGAGTAGAATATGAGAGCTGTGTGATAAAGATCCAATGGCGTAACCTGACTATAGTGCTGGAGACAGAACCTAAAGCAGGGTGAGACAGGAAGCTGAGTACAGAGAGCTGGTGGAGCGCTTTGTGGCGTGGTGTGGAATCAATTATCTGACCTTGAACGTGAACAAAACAAAGGAGATGATTTTAGACTTCAGAAGAAACAGGGTGGAGTCAAACACTGTTTCCATCATGGGAGAAGAAGTGGAGGTGGTTGAGGAATACAAATATCTTGGAGTTCACCTGGACAACAGACTGGACTGGAGAAAGAACAGCAAAGCCGTTTACAAGAAGGGACACAGCAGACTGCACTTTTTGATGATGCTTAGGTCCTTCAATGTCTGTAGCAAGATGCTGCAGATCTTCTACAAGTCTGTTGTTGAGAGTGTAATCTCTTCAGCCATCGTCTGTTGGGGTAGCAGCATCAGAAGCAGGGATCTGAAAAGGCTCAACAGCCTAATAAAAAAGGCTGGTTCTGTTCTGAGGACGACTGTGGAACCACTGGAGGAGATAATGCAAAGAAGGATTCTCCAGAGAATCAAGGAAATGATGGACAACCCTGAGCATTCTCTTCACAAGACTGTCCAACAACGGAAGAGTGTCTTCAGTCAGAGGCTTCTTCAGTTTGGCTGCAACACTGACCGCTACTGGAGATCCTTCCTGCCAACAGCCATTGTACTATACAATAACTCTTTGACGACTTGATTATTATTATTATTATGAGCTACTATGGCAATCAATTTCCCTCTGGGATTAATAAAGTATTTTTGAACTGAATTGAATTTGAAGACAAAACACAATGTCACATAAGAACTGTGTGTCTGGTTCTGATCCAAAACACCAGGATTACTAATGGGACGTGTCTATTTTAGAGCATTATTAGGGGTCAATTCTGTGTTCTTGTTCCACAAAATAACAGGTCATTTTAATTTTAACTGTTTCAAAAGTTACTGAAAGCACTAAACCTTCCCAGTGGCCTAGTGGAAGAGTGTCCACCCTGGGACTAGGAGATATCGAGTCATACCAAAGACTTGGTACCCAATGCCTCCCTGCTTGACACTCAGCTTGAAGGTGTTGGATTGAAGGGTTAAACCCCCAAATAGTTCCAGAGCGCGGCCACAGCTGCAGCTCACCGTTCCCCACGGGGATGGGTCAGATGCAGAGATGAATTTCACCTGTGTGATGATGACTATGGGACTTTAACTTTAACCCTCCCACTGTCTTCATGGGTGACGCCGCCAGGAAAGTTGACCATTGAGCAGGACTGATGGTTTATCCCTTGAGGTCCACGTGGCAGAGGTGAGGAGTGAGCACTACCTCTTCATGGGCGGGGTCACCCATGAAGACAGTGGGCGGGTTAAAGAGGTATTATGAATGAGTTAAAAGAAAACACCCATTAAAGGTGTGGATTACTCATTTAATTGGTAAATTTAGTGGTCTCTAGTAGGAATTAATGCCTTGTAGGCATAACTCAGGGCACAAAAAAGCCCACAAAGGCTTGTGTCAAGGAACCTTGCCTTGAAGCCTTGGTCCCACCCCAGTTGCCTAGGAGATACGTCATCAGGAACGGCCAAGACTTGTTCCAGTGGTTGGTTAGTTAGCAGGTAGTAACTCGCTTACATATTTAACCAATATGGACACGATTTAAAAAGTAAAAGGCTCATTATACATCTATATTCAAATCAAATCAAAGCTTTATTTATAAAGCACCTTCCGCAACCCTGTCAGGAAGCCCAAGGCGCTGAAAAAAACAGTCGAGATTCCCACATTTGGGGAATTCGCAGGGGTCAGCACAACACTGAGTGCAATGGCTGAGCCTCACCCTGGGTGAACCACCTTCTTGATCATGGAACTTATATGTATAAAATATAACGTTACTTCACGTAACGTGATCGCTGCAGTCACATGAGGTAAGTCTGTTCCATTTAACCTTTTTTTTTTTTTACCAAGGAAGGACAGTGTCCTCTTACAGGCAACGTGAGGTTCATTGACGTTGAGAAACACCCCAATTCTGCGACATATGAGCTGTGCTTCAAATGGGAGGATTTGGAGTCTTATTTCCTGATGCATCTTGCCTCGGATTGCATAAAAGCAACGCAACTCTACCGCTAACTCTGCTTGCTTGGGGACATGGATGTTTTATCTCCGCAATTAACAAGCCTGGAGGAGCTTCTGCCGACTGAGTGAGTTGCTAATGCTAGTGGTTAGCTTCTGTTGATTGAGACGATGATTCCTGGACGCTAAAACAACAACAGCCTTCCCCGTTGTGAGTCAATATGGGTGAATCCAATTCACAGTGGTCAGGCTTTTCAAATGCTAGATTTTCATCGTCTATTTTTTTTTATCAGAGGCTAATGCAGGAGATAGGTGTAAGAGACTATTTTATGTTCAGACTGCGTGAAAAATAGGTCTGATCATTTCAGCTTGTTGGAAATAGTAACATATTATTAGCTGTGGAAAAATAGAGAAAGTGAGTCAATTAAATGTGAAATATGGATTGTTTTGTGTGGCAAATCTGCAAAATCATAAAACCACCGAGGAAGCAACTAAACTTTAAAATAAAATAAAAAATCAGCAGCTGAAATGTTTTTGTTTTTCTGGGAGCCAGATTTGTAGAAACTGTCTAATGAATGGGTTACTGATGGGGATAATGACAGCTTGGAGGACCTGAACCTGCATCACCAGAGCTCAGATCTCTTAGAGGAGCTAGTGAACGATCCAGTTACACCAAGCAGAACTAAAAATCCATCAACCCATAAATGGCATCAGGTATGAGGTCAAAGGGCAATCCAATGACCTAAAGGTGAACGTTTATTATTTTAAATAACTGTGGCGTGTGTAGGTGCAACTTCCTGTTTAAACTGATGTTTTTCTGCAAAGACCAGATGGGTTTGAATTATTACTTTTATCTATAAAAGCACAAAACCCAGCTGTTTCAGCTTCGGATTCACGTTGTTGTCTTACTTGCATTTGAGGCGATCCTGCGCCTCTTCAAAGTCATTTCTCAGGAACAGATCCAAGGCAGCCATGCAGTCCTCCAGCGCCATAGACAGGTCGGACCGTGAGCACCTGAATAAAAATCCACACTTTACCCAACACCCTTCTCCTTTTACATAATAAATCTGATCAAATATCCAAGTTAGATTTTATTTCAATAGATTATTTTTTTGTTAAAACTGAAAAAAGCTTCATGACATCCCCAATTAAATATTTCTACCATTCTCAGTTTGCATTAGACTGCAAACCATATAAGAAATCAGCCAAAACGTAAAACATGTCTCAAAACCCAGACTTTGCACGTAGTTTTAGGCTTAAAATATGAAGAAAGATGTTGACTCATAACAATGTTAAACACTTTTTGGGTGCATCGCTCTCACGTGCCGACTGAAATAAGTTCCAAGATCTGACAAAAAATTAGATATTTTTAGGAGTAAATTTAATTTATGAATAACAGCTGAATCACATTCAGTCTGACTGTTTTATTTTTGCACCAAGAGGAACATGAGAGCAAATATTCATGTGGATGATAAACTTCTGTCTGTTAGAGACATGGAGAAGTAATAAACTCATAAAACACACACTCTCTAAGACAGAGGGGCGCACACAACTCTGGGTAATGACATGCGGGTGACTGCTGAGTTCACTAAATACCAAAAAGCTGAGTTTTCTGACAGCAGTGCACGCACGCACACACACACACACACACACAACTACATTGACAAAAAGACCAAGTGTGAGTTAACCTCCATAGATCAAGATCATTTGGAAAGAAAACAGGAAACTGTCTGCCGGGAAATAAATAAAATAGAAATGGAAACAGAAATGTGGTGATGAATCACAACAATTCAAGAACTGTTTTAATAGACAACAGGAAAGAAAATCAACTACTGATAGTGAAAAAGTTTAAACGCCCCTCCCCTCACTGATGTGTGCGGCTTTATGAACCATGCAGTATGGAGTCACATGTTCTTCCACATGTGATCACAAAATAAAATCAGTCTCTGTAACATTTCCTCTCAGTGGGAGTAAATGTGAAGCAGCTGCCTCAAGATACTTTACACACGAAATTTTTGACCTCTTTGTAAGAAATGCACTTAATAAGCTTAAGTCCAGACCTTTTAATACAGAAAATAAAAATATAAGTGTGCACATTTGTTTGTTTCAAGATCTCAACTGTAAAAAAAAGTTTAGACCTGAGCTTCTCCCATAAAACTGATTGTTGTTTGCTAAAATCCTCCACTGCTGGTGACCGATGGTTAGACGTTTTCTTTCCACGTTTACCTGTATGACACCAATTACTGCTCAAGATGAGGAGCAAATCTAAAACTGTAGACTTTTAAACAACAACTAGATTTTTATAGAAGTTACACTCATTTTTCTGAGAAAACTTGATCATTGTAATTTCAAGGTATCAAACCAAAGCTGATGGAGTTCAACCACTAGCTTGAATGTGACTCACACCTTTGTAGAATTTGTGCAACACAAGCAGACAAAGGCATAAAAACATGATCAAGTTTACAAAATGTTGAACAGCGCGTCTCCACACTACGTCTCCTCATCAATCCTCCACACAGCGTGTCACAGGGCTTGTAAGTAAAGAGTTTTTCACTTAAATGCACAAAAATCATCCTTATCAGCTTTAATACACAAGTAGAATAAACACATCTGTAGTTCACGGTAACAAGCCGTGTTGCATCACTCAGAGGGTGCTGGTGCTACTCCTCCTCAGACCAGAGAGGCTCTATAATTACATTGTTCCCAAAGTTGGGGTCAGGACTCTTTGGACGATGAAAAGCAAAGCTGAGAATGTCTGAATATATTAAAATATAATTCCTGTTTTCTATGATTATTAAAAAATCCAGATCTAATTGTAATAAATAAATTATTAAATATTAAATTAATATGTTAAAATTAAATAAATAGACATAATACAAGTTAAAGCTTTTTTCTTTTCCTATCAGTATCATGTTAGTTAATCAGTTCAGGCTTAAGGCAACATTTAGATAAATGAGAAGCTAAATTAGTGTCTGAATGGGATTTCAGTTCCAAACACGGACTGGAAGCATTTACATCTCAGTTTGTTGAGTGAGATTTAAAAATAAACAATCCAATCTATGAACCACAGGAGTCACTATGGGACTGGGGTGGCCTGTTGCTAGGTAACCACTAAAAGCACAACCCATCACCTGAAGCACATCACAAATGACTAAAACGCTGCCATGCCCATGGGTCAACTAACAAATTAAAACACCTTATAATGGTTTGGAAATACCAGAAATAACATGTTGATCACCTGTTATTCAGTAAACATGGAGGACAAAATTGCTGCTGGACGGTCGAATAGTTTAGATGAATTCAGAGATCTCATCAGTAAACTGATGAGGTCAGACTTCAGGTCAGTCACACAGGTGAACAATCAGTGGATTTTATCGTTTCATCCAATCTGGAACCAACTGGAGGTGGCTGAGAGGTACACGAGGTCTTAGCACCATCAGCACAAACCCACTCAAACACATCATAAAGGAAACGAAGGAGGGAGCAAAGAAATAAATAAATCATCTGGTAAATAGAGCTGTAGACAAAGACAAAACAGATCCAGATGTACAAACCTCACATTGTGTCGATAATTCAATAAAGTTTCAACTCAGCAGTTCTGCTGATTTCTCCAGAGAGCAACTTGCACA